TGTTTTAGAGAAAAACTCCATTCCTTTTAAGTTGTCATGGTTTTCTTTTTTAGATTCAAACGATAAAAACTTTGACTAACATTTTACGATGTATTTTTTATCATATTGATATGCAAAAAATTGCAATTTATAGTAATTTTCGTATAGTTTTTGAATATCTAAAATTTTAATTTTAATTATCGAATTAATATAATCTAATTTAACTTTAAAAATTAGTCAAATTAACTTTCGAAAAACGTAATATTACAACGAAAAAGGAACGGAGGGAGTATCAAACATATGGTATTACTTAGTTGTGCGAGATCTAATATACGACAACGTACACTTAGAGGTCGTTTGATCGGGTGTATAAAAATAATGTTAAATAGAATGTATTAGTTATGCTTGTATTAACTATACATAAATTAATTTTTATGCATTGTTTGGTTTGGTGTACAAAAAATAACATGAATTGCATAAAAAAATTCATTTATAAAAATATCCTCCACAATTATGATGGAAAACATGTAAAAAAGGGTTTTGAGGGGTAATTGAGTTTTTAACCATACTAATACATGTATTGAATCTCTTTGTGTTACTAATACCTAGAAATCAATGATATTAGGACTACACTCTTCCATACACAATAAAGTGTATAGCTAATGCGTGTAAACAAGATACTACTAATACACAGAGTTAATGCGTGCATTATTTTTGCTAATACACTCCACCGACACCTCAAGACTTTTCTTGGCTTTTTTGGCCAAGGGCTAAGTCAAAAGTCTTCTTACCTGTATTTTGTACGACCTCACTAATGAAAAAGTAGGTTACATTTTCATGACTTTGAAATAGAATTATAGAAACATGATAAGACCATAAAGACTATGAATAAATAGTTAAAAAATTAGGTGAAAGTGTTGTTCTTCATTAAGTTGAGAATTTCCCTATTAGTTTTTAGCAATTGTAATTAATACTCTTCAACAATGTCAAACACTTCTTCCAAAATTCAAAACTACGATGCTTTTCTGAGTTTTAGTGGTGTAGATAAACGTAGAACATTTGTGAGTCATCTCCATAACGCTTTAATACAAGGAGGAATTAATGTTTTCAAAGACGATGAACGTCTAAAAATTGGAAAATCAATTTCTGATGAACTACCAAAAGCCATAGAAGAGTCTAAATTTGCTATAGTGATATTTTCTAAAAGCTATGCATCGTCAAAATGGTGTTTAGACGAGCTTGCACACATCATAAAGTGTCGAAAGGAATTGGATCAAATCGTAATTCCTATTTTCTATAATGTGGATCCATCAGATGTGCGTCATCAAACTCAAACTTTTGCTAAGTCTTTTTCCCAACATGAGGAAAAATACAAAGACGATATCAAGAGGATTCAAAGATGGAGGGATGCATATATCACATCATTTGCAAATCATAATTCCTTTGGAATCGTTAAATTACAAATAAAGCATTTGAGTACTTTTTGGAAGAATTTGTCCTTAAATAGAATAAATATTCATCCTTAATCTTTCAAGAGTTATGGACAAACAAATCACATTATTTTCAGAAATTTGCACTATTGTATATTTTTATTTCATAACCTAAGTGTGTATAATATGATGTGATTTTTTTCAAATTGTTATTTTTAATTAGTATATGTTTGCATCATTGCATGTGTACATTATATAATTGGGTAAACAAATAATTGGTGCGGGGTTGGTGAAACATTTACTTGTGCAATTTAATTTCCTTTGATTCAGAAAATTATTGTTGACTTTCAAAAAAAAAAAATATTAAGGCATAATCCCAAATTCATGGATCTTGATTCTTGAGACTACTCGGGGGAGCTGATTACAAGGTGATGAATCGAACCATCATCAACAAGGTGAAATATCAGATAGTCAATTAACTGAACTACTAAGATTTCTTGAGACTATCCGGGGTAGATGATTACAAGATGAGGAATTGAACAATCATCAACAAGGTGAAAGATCAGATAAACAATCAACTGAACTACTAAGATTTTCCGAGACTAATCTAAATCCATATACCAATTAATGAAAATGTCTAATTTATCAAGCGGCATATAATATAATCTAACCAGGTAGCTCGTAGGGATGACTTATTAAGCATCTCTAATAACGACATGTTATGATATTGCCCTACGACCTAGGGTTTTAAGCCAGCAGCTGCACAGCTCTCATGGCTGCTACGACCACTGGACGGCCTCCTTTTGAGGCTGTCCAGCCCGCCCCACCACCCCAAACCACCACATACGCCACCCTTTTCAATTCCAATACTATAAATCCTAAACAATCTGCCCTAATTAACTCAAAAACAATCGCAAAACCAATCGAAATAATTCATGGAGAACCTACTATCACGTTTTCAATGGAGGAAAGGCAAGACTTTATGATTGAAGAGGGATTGCATCAAGCAGTGGTGTTTAAATTATCCCATGGTGCGCCAGATTTGAAGGTATTAAGGTCAATTTTACCGAAACATCTTGGTACCAAGGGCAATTGTTTAATTGGCTTACTTGCTCCAAGACAAATTTTGTTGAGATTTGATCAATATGAAGATTATGTACTAGCATTATCTCGCTCAGTTAATTATCTTCTCTACAATGGAGAGGAGCACCAATGTAGGGTTTTTCCATGGTCCATTGGATATAATCCTAAGGAGGAAACGACGTTAGCTGTGGTTTGGATTTCTTTACCAAACTTATCTCCAGATTTGTTTGCAAAGAAGTCTTTGTTGTCTATAGCATCGGCAGTTGGGAAACCAATAGCTATAGATAAAGCTACTCAAATCAAGTCAAGACCTAGCATAGCTAGGGTCAAGGTTATACTTGATCTAATGGAAAAGCTTCCAAATCGTATAAGATTGCAGTTTGTGGATGGAAAATCTGGTAAGTTGATCGAGATTTTTCAGGAGATTGTATAAGATAATCTACCTTTGTATTGCAATTATTGTAAGCACCAAGGTCATGATGAAGATAGTTGTCGTTTGATCTAAAAAAGAAATCAAAATAACAAACAAATTGATGATACCATTGAAGTTGCTACAAAAGGTACTATTGATAGTGAAAAGTATCAAGGGGATGCGAGAGAAATACTAAATGAAAAAAGAAAGGTTGTAGATATCAATCAAAGTAAAGCTACTTCGTTAGATCGGCAGTTGGTTGATGTCCCTTCTGAGCAAAATCGTGCACACTCAATGGATGTTGTTACAAGTAATATTGGTGTTCAAACAACGACCGAAAACAAAAGGGGAACGCCAAGAGTTGGGGTTGATGCGCCGCGAGTTGGTTCAGGCAAAAAAATAATGGATTCAGGACACAAACTAATGGATACATCTGATGTTGAAGATGCTGAAAATTTTGGGCAGCATGTTTTGCAAGTTGAAACCAAGAATGCAACTAAAAATTGGACACTGGTTGCACACAAAAATTCAACTAGTAATCGGAGCCTTTCCCCGACTAGTCAAAATAATTCTCCATGTAGTGAAAAGGGTGCGACTGGAAATTTTTATGACAGTGAGAAGAGGCAAGATATTAGTAATGCCTCAAGAGACCTATTATGTTCAAATAGCTTTGATGCTTTATTGAAGACTACTGGACAGCAAGTAAAGTTAACAGAGAATGACAACGATTTGATCCAAGAAAAGCAGGTCTCACCACCTACTTTGAATAGCAAATTAAGTCCAGAAGCTCCCGTATTTGTGCCTAAATGTGTGATTGCAAAGAAGAATGAGTCAAGGGTCTTAGTGTCAAATACAATTGATTTGGGCGAGGATTTTCTTGATGAAAATGGGGAAGACAATATGCTTGATTTTGGCGAGGATTCTCTTGATGAAGATGAGGAAGATATGCTGGACATGTGTTTTGATAGAGTGGCTAGGGAAGGAGATATATCACCTAGGCAACAAAGAAGTGGAAGCAACAGAAGCAAAAAGAAGACACATGGAAGGCAACATAGTTGGGACGGCAAAATGACTGAAGAGTTTGTTCCAAGGCACCAACCGATGCGACAGGCAAAGCAGAACCATTTGACAGTATCAATAGGTTCAACAAGATCCAATAAATCCATAAATAAAGTATGAATTATCAAGTGTTGTTGGATAGGTTTGAAGAAGAAGACAAGAGAAAAATACTTCAAGTTACTTTTGATGGGCAATCAATCTTTTTTAATTCATGCGTTTGCAATAGAAAGTTTGAGGCTGATAACTCAACTTTCTTCTTGATTGGCATATTTTTACATTATTTAAGCATCCTCATTTGTAATATCATCATGGAGTGTATTTCAAACTCTGTGGTGATCAGAAAATACTTAGTTCTCTCTAGCTCTTATTTTCTTCATGCTTGTTAGGTAGTAGACACTTCATTAGGATTAGTAAGGTAAGGCCTAGCCCCCCTTGCTTGCACTTATCCCTATTGATATTTTTTGTGTTTAATAAAAGGCCACTAGACACTATCTAGTGGTAAATTTGTGGGAAAAAAAATACCAATTAATGACTTTATTACGCTTCATTAAAATTCCCTTATCTATTGAAACATCGTCATATAAAATGAAACAGAATGAAGTAGGTACTATTGTTTAAACTATTGCAAGTTTGCAACTATAAAGAGAGGATTGATCTTTTTCATATTGTCTATTGACTAGCAATGGCTTCTCCATCACAAAACACAAAAAGTAGTCTTGTCCATATCTTTCTTGTCTCATTTCCAGGTCAAGGCAATGTTAACCCTTTTCTCAGACTAGCGAAACGCCTTGCTAGCAAGGGCATGTTGGTCACTTTCACTGCACCCGAACATGTTGGCAAAGAGATGAGAGCTGTCGATGTGAACTTGATCATCGATCAACCAACTCCTTACGGAGATGGTATGATCAGGTTTGAATTCTTCGAGGATGGATCCTCGAATCAATTCATTATCGAGGATTTTGACTTGAGGATGAAAATGCTTGAGCAAGCCGGACGAAGGAACTTGACTAAAATCCTGAAGAAACAGGATGATGAAGGTCGTCCTGTTTCTTGTATAGTCAACAATCCATTTTTTCCATGGGTATGTGAAATTGCTGAGAGTCTTGGAATACCTAACGCGTTGCTTTGGATTCAATCTTGTGCTTGTTTTTCGATATATTACCATTATAATTTCAATCTAGTGCCTTTTCCAAGTGAATTCGAACCTGAAAAGGATGTCATCCTACCTAGTATGCCTGTTTTGAAATACTATGATCTGCCTACGTTCCTACTCCATTCAAGTGGATTCGAATCAGTGTTGAAACGGATTATGTTGAATCAATTCAACATTTTGTCCAAACCTTTTTGCATTTTGGTGGACTCATTCCAAGAACTTGAACATGAGGTGGTAAGGCATATGTCGAAAATTTGCCCCATTAGAACTATTGGTCCCTTGTTATTCAATGACCCTAAAATCATTAGTCCCATTCGCGGTGATTGCACAAAAATCGAGGAGGATTGTATCGAGTGGCTTGACTCGAGGCCAACATCTTCAGTTGTTTACATTTCATTTGGTAGTGTTGCAGTTCCTGATCAAGAACAAGCAGGTGAGATCGCGTTTGGACTATTAAATTCGGGGATATCTTTCTTATGGGTCATGAAGCCACCCCCTGCCTATTCTGTTTTTCAGCCTGTTGTGTTACCTGATGGTTTTCTTTCGAAAGTCGGTGGAAGGGGGAAAATAGTGACATGGTGTCCACAAGAACAAGTCTTGTCTCACCCTTCTGTCGCCTTTTTTCTCACACATTGTGGATGGAATTCGTCGATGGAGGCAATTTCAAGTGGCGTCCCCATCATGGCTTACCCTCAATGGGGTGATCAAGCCACAAACGCAAAGTATTTGGTTGATGTGTTCAAAATGGGGATCAGATTAAGCAGGGGTGAGAATGGGAGTAAGATAATTACAAGGGAGGAGATCGAGAAATGCTTGCGTGAAGCCACTAGTGATGATTCGAAGGTAGCAGAGATGAAAGAAAATGCGCACAAGTGGAAGAAACAAGCAGAGGAAGCAGTGGCAGAGCGCGGCTCCTCTGCTATCAATATCCAAGCATTTGTGGATGAGTTGAAAAATATCCATGCCAAGAAACAAGAAGAAAACGCCTAGTGATCGATAGTGTGTTAGTGTGTGCGTGTGGAGTTGGTGTTAGTTTGTGTTTTTACCATTTCTAAAGTTCAAGATGCACACTTGAAAGATTGTTCATTCCAAGTTTAACTTCAACCTATTACATAAATATTGAATTTATTTGTTATTTACATTTCTATCGATCCTCGAAGTGTGTTGATCTATGGTTATAATGTTGCCCCTTGGATTTCTTCAACGATAAAAGTAATACAACGTGAGATGTGTTTTAGACGCCCTTCATGAATCACACATCCGAAATGTAAACAAAACTAAGTTTGGTATGACTTAAGAGATTGTTCTTGTCAATTCCAAGTCTAAATTTAACTTACGGCCCTTTAACTTATTATATACATGTTGAAATAAATAGAGGGGGTGAAAGAAGAAAAGAGAAAAGAAACCAAATATATACCATTGTATGGATAATTACTTGGTAACTCGAACCCACAACCTTAGAGATGGAGGGAGTTTACAAGCAACTCCTCTTGTCTTTCGCAACAACTTTATTTCTTTTTTTATTGAGAAATTTATTGAGCTAAGTTGACTTACTACAACAATATTAAGGGACAATCCAAAATTCATGGATCTTGTTTCCCTAAAATATCCAAGTTAAACTATTGCAAGTTTTTATTAAAATTAATCTTCATTTGCAACTAGAACTTAAACATCATTTGCCTAAATTGTTTGTTCTTAAATCTTTTTTTTTCCCTTTGGCATATCCACTACTTCATTTTGCCTAAAAATGGCTTTTGCATCACAAAACACCAAAAAAAGTAGTCTTGTCCATGTCTTTCTTGTCGCATTTACGGGTCAAGGCATTGTTAACCCTCTTCTTAGACTAGGGAAGTGTGTTGCTAGCAAGGGTATGTTGGTTACCTTCTCTGCACCCGAACGAGTTGGCAAAGAGATGAGAGCTGTTGATGAGAACTTGATCATCGATAAACCAACTCCTTATGGAGACGGTATGATCAGGTTTGAATTCTTCGAGGATGGATCCTCGGACTATGTTGATCCATCCAAAATTAATGATTTTGACTTGGTGATGGAAATGTTTGAACAAGCTGGAAGAAGGAGCTTGACTAAAATCCTGAAGAAACAGGATGATGAAGGTCGTCCTGTTTCTTGTATAGTTAACAATCCATTTACTCCATGGGTATGCAAAATTGCTGAGAGTCTTGGAATACCTAACGTGTTGCTTTGGGTTCAATCTTGTGCTTGCTTTTCAATATATTACCATTATCATTTCAACTCTGTACCCTTTCCAAGTGAATCCGAACCTGAAAAGGACATCGTCCTACCTAACATGCCTGTTTTGAAATACGATGATCTGCCTACGTTCCTAGTCCTGTCGAGCCCTTTCCAAGCGTTGAAACGGGTTATTTTGGATCAATTCCACAATTTGTCCAAACCTTTTTGCATACTGGTGGACTCATTTCAAGAACTTGAAGATGAGGTGGTAAGTCATATGTCGAAAATTTGCCTCATTAGAACTATTGGTCCCTTGTTATTCAATGACCATGATATTTCTAGTCCCACGAACATTCACATTCGTGGTGATTGCACGAAAATAGAGGAGGATTGTATCGAGTGGCTTGGCTCAAAACCTCATTCTTCAGTTGTTTACATTTCATTTGGTAGTATTGCAGTTCCTGATCAAGAACAAGTAAATGAGATCGCGTTCGGGCTATTAAATTCAGGGATATCTTTCTTGTGGATCATGAAGCCACCCCCTGAATATTCTGTTTTTAAGCCTGTTGTGTTACCTGATGGTTTTCTTTCGAAAGTCGGTGGCAGGGGGAAAATAGTGAAATGGTGTCCACAAGAACAAGTCTTGTCTCATCCTTCTATCGCGTTTTTTCTGACACATTGTGGATGGAATTCATCGATGGAGGCAATTTCAAATGGCGTCCCCATCGTGGCTTTCCCTCAATGGGGTGATCAAGTCACGAACGCAAAGTATTTGGTTGCTGTGTTCAAAATGGGGACTAGATTAAGGAGAGGTGACAATGGGAGTACGATAATTACAAGGGAAGAGATCAAGAAATGCCTGCGTGAAGCCACTAGTGATGATCCAAAGGCCACGGAGATGAAAGAAAATGCGCGTAAGTGGAAGAAGAAAGCTGAGGAGGCAGTTGAAGAACGCGGTTCGTCAGACAAAAATATGCAAGCATTTGTGGATGAACTGAAAAAAGTCCATGCCAAGAAACAAGAAGAAAATGTCTAGTCTTGTTTAACTACATTCATTTCAAGTGTATAATTCAATCTATGGGACTATATGATTGAGTATGTTGTTGTTTTTCTGCTTTCTATCACACGTTTCTACTATTTGTTTATATAGTATGTGAACTCAAACAAATGGGAAGTGCCTATGATTAATTAGTTTCAAGAAAACGGTCATTCACGTCAGGAATAGAGGTCATTAAGGATGTACTTTCTTTTCCTTTTGTTCATCTAGATTGTGTTGGTGTTCAGTGTACCACTTGTCTACTATGATCTATACAAGCTTACATAGAATACAAGATCGAAAAGAATGCATTGAATGAATGTCCGGTTATATGTTTGTATATAAAATTATATGGATAAGCATCTCTTTAAATTAGAAATAAACAACAGCTAGTAGCTGTTAAGCCTAAGATGTTCCTTATCAGCTGACACAAAGGATTTTCAAGGAAACATACTTATCTAGACGAGGTCAATGGACGATAAAAAAGGCTCAACGACCTAGGCTAGTGATCTTCATTGCACTTTGAAGGATCGTCCAACTAATGTTGGCCCAAGTGGTCGAGTCTATGTCATAATTTGTGGTTGAGTTATATAAAATTAAACAAGTAGACATATATACGCGTTCTAAGTGGCAATCTATGTCCTATGTGGCATCCTACATACATCATGTCACATGGGATGCGTGTGTCTACTTTTCCAACTTCATACAAGTTTTAAGTACCTACTTGTGCACTTTCAAAATTAAAGAATATAAATATCAATTAAGATCAAGTTAAAAGACAAGACTTATGTATTATATTAATATTATATCCACAAATAATACAATACAATAAAAAAAAATATTATAGTCAATGATCCAAATAGAGTTTGTTTAGAAGTAATTACTTAGTTGATTGTGACATAACTAAAACTCATTTGATCAAGTTGTAGAAAAGTTAAATTAATAATCTATTAATTAAAGACCGAATCAAATCGAGTGACAAAAAGTCAAATAAACCGACTTTTATATGAATATTGTTACCTATTGTTTCGTAACGTATGATAATGAATTGTATTATTTTAAGCAAAGTCATGCATACGATAAGTATAAAAAAAAAATCAAAATTAATACATATAGTATTTTCTTAAATACTTTTTACCTAAGGACCCTTGAAGTTGTTGAAAATTTCGAAGACTTGATGTTTCAGAGCCAATAATCCCGAGGTAATAAAGTCTTTTAACATCAAAGCGAGGGTTGTTTGGTTGCTGATTAGAGTTATGCAAATATTAGTAATATATGAATTAGTTAGGAGAGAATTTATGTATTATTTTATACAAATTTTAGTTATTCATGAATCATATTTTGATTATTAATATTTAATATAGTACATATTCCATATTTTATATAACCTGTATAAAATAATACATACATTTTCTCATACCTTATGCATTTATTAATTATGCGAATTTTGAAATTGCAAATCAAATACTCCCTCTGTTCCTAATTACTTGTCCACTTTTCTTTTTATAATTGTCCCTAATTACTTGTCCATTTTGACAAATCAAGAAAGGACAAAATTTTTTTACCTATTATACCCTCAATTAATTACTTTGAAAAAGGTTGAAATTTTGAAAATCATAAATTTTTAATTCATCCACTTTATAATTAATAAGGGTAAAATGATAAATTCACTATGTTAAGAATTGTTTTCTTAATAGGTGTGTCAATTAAAAAAATATATAAGTAATTAGGGACGGAGGGAAAAGTATCATATATGAACCTAAGATCTAATACACGCATAACGACACTTTGACTTTTCTTCACCTTCTTTTGCCAAGGGCAAAGTCAAAAGTCTTCTTAAATTACTTGATTTTAGTACGTACTCTTTAATTTCTCTCATTAAAAAATAAAATAGGGTATTTCAATTAGGAACATGATAAGAAGTTACCATAAAGACTATGAATAAATAGTGAAAAAAGGTGAAGTCTTGTTCTTCATTAAGTCTCTAGCAATTATAACTAATATTCTTCAACAACAATGTCACACACTTTATCTTCTGAAATTCACAAGTACGATGTATTTTTGAGTTTTAGAGGTGAAGATACACGAAGAACATTCGTGAGTCATCTCTATAACGCTTTAATACAAGGAAGAATTGATGTTTTCAAAGACGATGAACGTCTAGAAATCGGAAAATCAAATTGACGAACTACCAAAAGCCATAGAAGAGTCTAAATTTGCTATAGTGATATTTTCTGAAAGCTATGCATCGTCAAAATGGTGTTTAGATGAGCTTGCACACATTATAAAGTGTCAAAAGGAATTGGACCAAATTGTATTTCCTATTTTCTATAATGTGGATCCATCAGATGTGCGTCATCAAACTCAAACTTTTGCAGAGTCTTTTTCCAAACATGAGGAAAAATACAAAGACGATATCGAGAAGATTCAAAGATGGAGGGATGCATTTGCGGAGTCTGGGAAAATATCAGGGTATCATTTGCAAAATTACAAGATTACTTTTCTTTGTCTTATTAACTGTCAAGTCAAATGTGCCATATAAATTGAGTCAAAGAGATCATATTTTATTTGATTTCTAAAGTTCGATCTAAATGGTTGTTCTTTTCATTGTTACATTTAGGGATGAGGCAGATTGCATCAAAAAAGTTATTGACAGACTAATGTCAGTTTTGCATATTGAATCTGATGACGATGATGTTCGTGCCTTCATACGGGGCATGGACATTAAATCTCCAATTCTTATCGATGGAGGCAAAATGGTATTATTTCTTTTATAATTTGAATCCTCTTAGTGAAATTTGATAGATATCTATCTTATCACGTCCATTAAGCAGGGGTGGCTCAAACCCGTTGGTGGTCTAAGGCCAAAATCAAACTAGAGGCCTTAAAAAAAATTATAAATATTTTTA